CTGATGGGCCACCTCCTGCACACCCCCAACTGGGGGACCAAGCCTGCAACTTGGGCATGTGCCCTGACCAGGAATCGAACCCCTATCACCTGGATCCTAGGTCGACTCTCAACTACTGAGCTTTGCCTCGCCGGGCAATATTTTCATTATTTGATAGCATTCTTTGATACATGAACCTTTTTAGAAGTTGCAGCTGTACTTGTTATCTACTTTTTTACTTATTGATTTTTACTTTGGTGTCCTATGTCCCAATAGGTCTTTAGAACTAGTCATAGGGAAGCTGTAAGATAACTACATACATACATGGATTTATATTTGTGAAGGTCCACAAGAAGACACCTCAGGATGTACTTTGTGGTATGCAGACTACTTTGAGCTAAAGGCAGTGTTCATTTCAGGAATTTGAATTAGGGTTCTTGTCCATAACAGGTTATCAGAGAAAACATCTTTTAAACCTATCTTAGGGCCAATGCAAATTTCTATATACAAAATATCTGTTTTTCTTATTATCTTATCTCTAGCTCAGGATGTCTTATACACTCTAATTCCATTTCTGTCTCTGAATTTCTCATACATGTGGGGTCATGTGTTTTGGGGTTCCCATACATATGCATGTATTAAATATGGTTATTTTATTTTGCTAATATTTCCAGTCTATTTGATTATTAGTCTAGTAAAAAAAGAAATTAAAAAGCTTGAGTATAGAAACATGGTTTTTCTCCCCCACATATTAGTAAACTACAACTGGTATACAGTTTGCAGCATTTACCTCATAACCACATTCGTTTTTACTTTTGTGGTAGAAAGTTAGACAGACATGAGGAGATCAAGGACAAAGGGCCAGGTAGAGAAGGTCACCGGGGCAGAAAGCCCTGGGTGCCTAGCAATGGACAAAACTGGGAAAAGTAGGACCCTGTCCCCAGCATAACATTTTCTCCCTTCACATATCACTTCTCTTACATTTTGACCCCCTGACCTTTCACATGTCTGATCATGCTGTTTAGAGGCCCTGACCTTTCCTCCCTGGAGTTAAAATCTAGGCCACAGTTGTATTTCAGCTCCACTCCCACAAAAGCAGCAAAATGGACTGGGTGATACCGGGACCAGCTAAATTGACTAATGGCCTGGTACTGCCCAATCAGCAGACACCATGACCCTGAGAGAACACACCTGGAAAACTGATAAATATTCTGCTGGAGCCCTCGCCTGAGACCTTCCTTAAGATTCCCACCTGCAAGACAGAAATAAAAACTTCAAGACAAATGACCCAGTATAAACTCTCTTCTGGGGAGCATACATAACCCTGCTTTTCCCTCTCTTTTTCTTCCCCAAAGACATGCATCTCCTAAACTCTAAGGGACTTCAACTAGACTTGCAAGCAGGGTAGCAGTTGGCAGTGGCAGCTCATCTTAAGCTTACCCCTTGAATTTGTTTCCAATGCTCTCTTTTCTCTGATTTCCCAGTGAGCTAAAGCATTTTCAAAGAATAAAAGCAGCCCTGCCCCCTCTCCTATTGCTTCTTCTGTGCTTATTCCTTCCTTTTTCACTCTCCCCACCTTTAATCAATGTACCCTCATAGTCACCTAGATGCATGAAATCTTTCCTGCATGAAAAACCCCACACACTGCTGGCTGGCCCTAGGTAAACCCTCTCAAGTCCAGGCCCCCTGCCTGATAACATTTTGAATAGAATGTTCTGATAAAATTAGAAAGAACAAATGGAGTAATATTCATGTAATTTTTATTGTATCCATTCCTTAATTTGAGCATGTACTGATTTAATTTAATTTTTTAGAGGAGAAAATATTTATGAATTATTCATGTAAAATTTTGTGTGTTTTATTCTGTAGATGGTGTTGAGCCGTGCTCTATTCACTATAGAAATTAAAATTAATTCTACTAGAGGCCATTTAACCAATGAAAATAAAGTATGTAGGTGTACCCCAAATGCAATTGGTTTTACTAGAATATTTGAAATTATTTTTCAGGTCTCATTCACTTTAGTTCTGACTTGAAAAGGAACCAGAGTGAGTCTGTATGTACTTACTCAAATCTAAAGTTTCTTGAGCATTTTTCTAATTTCCTGCAGTAATTTCACCAAAAGATATGAGTTTGTTAGTTTGGCAATCTTTGTTTTTAGTTAATCCCAGTTGAATTTAACATTCACAGGACCATGTCACTTTTTACCACTTAAGGTTGCTTGTGAGTCTGTTTGATATTCAACAACAATTGGGACATTATCATTGATGAATAAAAAAAAGTGTAGTAATATAAGACAAAAGAGTCTTAACCTATTATTTACTAAATTTGAGAGATGGGAATCAT